ACACGCCTTTGACAGAGTATCAAGGTCGTAGTCTCAAGGGACATAGCAATTCTCATGTTCATGTGTGCTTTGATCGGCTTGGAGTTAAGGCAAGTTTGTTAGTCTTCACATTAGTGTTTTCTTTAGAAATTTTCTTAATTTCTTAGACATTTTAATACTTGATTGTAACACATTGTATTGTGTTTGTCTAATTACATAACATTATCGTTTGTAATTATATTTTTTAGGTTTTGTTTCCCACACAAATTATTAAGTGTTTTTCATTGTTGAATTCACTGAAAACCTAACAAAAAATACCCAGAATTAAATAATCAAACCCCTCTTCAAAATTTACCCAATTTGGTGCAAAATTGGATAAATTGATCAACCCCTCTTCAAAATAATCAAACCCCTCTTCAAAATTTATCAAATTTGGTGCAAAAACCCCCTTAAGCTGCTTCAATGGAGTAAAACAATCCTATGGTGGTCAAAGCACCTTCTTGCAAACACCTAAAATCAACTCAAATCACTGATTGAAACCCCTGAAGAAACACTTCGTAGAAAGGAATTTAACCACCGCCATAGTTACGTGTGCGAATTAGGGAAGAGAAGGAGGAGCGACAAACTGAGATGATGGTAGCAGCCAAAACGAAAGGCAGTGAGGAAAAGCAGGAAATGAGGAAAAGGAAAGGGAAGGGACGAAGGGTAAGACAACAACGCAAAGGTAAGGACAGCAATGTAAAAACCACGAAAAGACCAAAATGAGTAAGGGCAATTCAGGCAAAGAACTATTCATAAGCTACAGTAACTCAAAAATGCACTACTCATATTTAAGGGTTGGGAGATAATTAAAATGAAGGATTTTCGACAACCATCTCTCGCTCGCATAGGTGAATCGAACTCATTTTTGGGACTTCATAAACCTATTATGATTGCAAAATCAACTTATATGACCCTAGGAGACACCTCACTCATTCACTTCAATTTTTGATTTTTTTTTTCCAAAGTTGGCTAAAAAGCGTGGATTATAGTCTTCATTTTTGGAAAATTTTCGACTTTTTCGGTATTGGAAAAGAAAACAGCTAATGTGCTTACACTGGACCCCACGATAGTTTGAGAGACCATTTGGGTGTTTGGAATTGTCCCTTTTGTCTTGAAATTGTCAATTTGATGTTTATGCATACGCCATTAGTACGAAACAACGAAATAGGTGAACCAAACTCAAACTCGGGACTTAGTAGACCCGACCCACTATTAGACTAATTATGGTTGCAAATCAACTAATATGACCTCAGAATTCACTCACACAATCATTTTGAATTTGGAAATTTTTTCTGAAATTGATCCAAAAGCATGGATTATAGCCATTATTTTTGGACAATTTTTGACTTTTTTGGGCCTGGAAAGGAAAGTGCCCGGGTTGTGTCCCATGGACCCCACAACATAATGGGAGACCATTTTGGTGGTTGAAATTGTCAATTTTGTCTTTAAACAGTCATTTTCTTTGTTTACGTACCACACCTATGCAACATAATTATGTAATAGGTGAACCAAACTCATTCTAAGAATTTTATAGGCCTAGTGGTAGACTTGCTAACCACCTTATAAGACTATAGGGGACACCCCACACATTCATTTCAATTTTAGAAAAACTGTTCAAAATTAGTCCAAAAACGTGAATTATAGCCTTTAAATTTGAAATTTTTTGACTTTTTCGGATATGGAAAGGAAAGAGGTCGGAGTGCTTCCTATAGACTTTATGACACTATGGGAGACTATTTGGGTGGTTGAAATTGTCCATTTTATCTTTAAATTGCCACTTTAGCACTCTATGTATACGCCTCCCTTCATTAAGTTAAGGTCGCCATCGGTCTTGATCATATGTGAATATAAACAACACTATGTCCTCGGAATTCATCCTCTACCATCTATTTTAACATGTATCACAAGCTTGCATTGTAAGCTTTACCAGTTGATGATGGAGTACATGTTGATAAATGTTAAATTAGATCGACACACACAAAATCTATTATGGCGTGATATACGTTGGGCTCTCTTGTTTACGTTTTATTACTTGAAATTGATCTGATGAAATATGTTCACAAGAGTATGGTTGTTTAGACTCATGTTACTCCAGTTATCATTTCATCTTGATTCTCGAGAACTCGTGTTGAGTATTTTGGGCACTTCATTTTGGGTCAATATTAGGCAAATTTTCATGAAATAGTCATCTTTGACACTTGGATACATAACTTCTAGCCAAATTTGAGTAACGGCTATAGACTATATTATCAAAATTTCAGTGGTGAATTGAAAACGATTTCAGTGTTAGCAGTTTGAGTTTCTGGTGCCTTAGACATCCTTCTAGAATAAGATGACTTTCTTATTAGGTATAGTATATGGTATAATTGTATGGTTATGGATGAGATATCCAGCACCTGATTTTCATACGAAGATCATTCATGTTAACTGAGAAACTAAACTACGTATAACTTTGGAAAACTCGTTGGTATGTTGTTGATTGATGAGTTATTTTTCTTAAATTATACGTTAGAAGTAGATCGAAGAAGAAAAGGACTGATGTATGATTACAGTGAACATTTTCCAAAAAAAAGTAAAAACATAGAAGAATCACAATCCAACATTAAACATCTGTATATAAACGACAATACAATAGATAATACAAGTATATAAGTACATAACAACTCTCCAACAGACAAATGTGAAGGCATACAAAGGAAAAATACAGAATCATACAAAGAATATAGGAAACATCAGACAGAAATAACAAAAAAAGATGACAGTATAGTCTCAAAAACTGAGGCTAGAAGAGCTGCTTAGTTTGAAGGAGGTGGGGAAAGGGAAGGAATGGAAGGGATAGATGTCGGAAGGTTAGGGATGGTGGTGGGAATGGTGGTTGGAAGGTTTGGCATGGGAGGGAAAGCCATGTTTGGAATGGAGGGCATGTTTGGCAAAGATGGGATTTGGGTGCTTGGCATCGGTGGAATACTAGGCTGAGGCAGAGCTGTAGGCTGAGGCAGAGTTGTCGGGACTGTAGGCAATGGGGGAATGGCAGTAGTCGGATTGGGTAAGGTAGGCATCGTCTGCAACAGATGGCGTGCTGCAAGGCTCACGTCGATGCATGACATGGCCATAAGTAGACCGAATATGATCATGTGCTTAGACGAAGCCATTGTTCAACTGGAGGAGAGGATAGGAAATAGCTTGCTAACTTGATTAGACACTCAAGGTTTCTTTGGTTTAATTACTTGTATTTTTATGTTGAGTTGAGAATTTAGGAGCTTGATTAAGAGAATTTATAGATGGTGAAATCAAAAGCATCATAAGAGTTTGATGAAATGTGGTTGAGGGGGTTAGAGTTAGCTTGGAAGAGCTAGTTAGTTGACCAATCCACTTAATTGTCATGGTTTCATATTCTAATTTTAGTTGAATTAGCATATCTAATCTTTCTGACTTTAACTCTGTGCCATTGCTTAATTCCTGCATCATAGGATAACTAAGGAATTCAGGAAGATGAACAATGATTAAGGTCAGTATGATCCAACTTGTTTAAGATTATTATACAAAGGCGCTGTTTGTAGTCATATAAATTCCATGTCCAAACCGTAACATGACAATTTGTACTGGAAAAATAAAACAAAATAATGTATAATCAATGATTAAAGAGGATTTGTTTCTTGTAACTATTAGAACCTAATTTACATTGTTATATGTAGACTTTTAGGAGAGTACAGAGTAATTTACTTTGTTCTTGGACAATTACATGTCACAACCAAAATTGATTTACTGGCTCTTCTTGTGTTGTGTGGGGTCATATTCAAGTCTAATTGATTTTTAATATTATCAAGTTGGGTCAGTTCAAATGTTTAATTATGGTTCAATTTCGATTTATATTATCTAATTTCACGGCCGATATATAATTGAGATTGAAATAATATGTTATAATGAGTTGTATGCATCAATTTTGCATATTCATCTCATAATTAAAAATATAAGTATTTTGGTCAATTTACCAATTTAAATTTTAAATTTTAAATAAACTTGAACTAAAATTTAAAAAGACCAGCATGGATAATGTTTTTGTCCACATTTATACATTATTTGCTAGTTCCTTCAATAGCATTATGTCTAATCAAGCTTTATTTCTATTTTAAAAAATTATTGTTAATTGCATTATTTCCAAGTCTTTACTTTGAAACATCTAATCAGAACATGGATTGGAAGAAATTTTAATGAAGTCAATACTTGCAAAATAGGAGTATCACTAAATAATCATGATGTTGGAGCTTAATTATTTTGGTAATCCTATACAAGAAGCACTAAATATGGAGGAATCCCACGTGAAGTTTCATCCTCTATGGACCAGAGGAGGACTAAAGGTTTCAACTCGAGACTAATTAACTAGACGGTTTTTCTAACGAGTGTCCATGAACACATGTTAAGTTTCATATGTATATTCATTTTTGATGGCTTTGTAGTCAAATTTAAAGGAAAACTATGTAACAAAAGTTAAACATAAAAGGGAATTGTAACCAAAAGAGAAGTTTACAAGTGTAAAAATTTTTCGCATTTAACCCTTGAATTGTCTATAAATCTATAGCTTCAAAACCTTATTATGAAGTGAACTTAATACCATTTCAAAGTGTGGTAATTTTGCGAATAGTGACTTTTGTCTATATCGTTAAATCCTAAAATTTGATATTACATGTGAACTTGGTATGCTAGTTTCATATATCTATGCCATTTTTATATACTTTGATGTGCAATCTAATCTTGATTTAATTTGAAAATTGCTTTATCTTAAATTATTTGCGCAAGTGTATCTTATGACATTACTACTTTGTAATTTGGCAGTAAAATACTATCATTACTAGTATCATTGGATTCCAACCATTATCAATTAGTAGTGGATTTGTTAGAAATAAAGACAATATTAAGGCTCTAAACAATAATTGCAATAATAAAAAGCACTAATTATTGCCATATTAACTATCATTGGCTTCAGATTCCCAAACTATCATCATATTCATATAAAGTTACTAACTAGTACAAGCTGCATACATTAACATAATACAACTTCTATCTTACCTTTTTTTTTTCTCTTTCTAATTGACAGTTAGAAAAACATAGAGTACATATATTTGTTAGTTAGGATTTTCCAACTGTATACTTAACTGCCAATATTACAGGCCCAGCCCAACACACTTCCCAATTAATACGGTCGGTGCATCCTTAGCCCATGGCCCAACCCAGAAGAAGAAGGTGCCTTGTCCACCACCACTTTTAAAGCCCGTTTCAGCAGCCCCTCCGGCCCGCCACCACCAACGCCTCGAACCCATAAAACATTCTTGGTCCGACCCCCTACCGTGGCCATCTCCGCCTTCACAACTTTACCCTTAACTGACCTTAATGCCCTTGTCAAGTCCAATATAAGCTCAGGCCTATCCTCACAACACAAGGTAGCAATGAGGGTAGTATTGTCATTTTCACTACGTCGTAGGCTAACCTCATCTATGTCCCCCGGAAGCAAACAAGCATTGCACCCATCGTAATCCTCATGTCCATCCCCTGTCAATTCCGAGGTGGCCTTTTTTAGCTCCCTCACCCGCCGGACCACCTCTGCCAACACCGAGGCCTTGTCTGTCTATACAAAATTTTGTATATGTGACAAAATTAGTACGTACTCTTTATGTGAGGTCAAGATCACATATAAATATATAATACATGTGTATTTATCTATTTATGTGCTATGTATAATAATAGTAGTCCCTATATAATATCTTGTTGAAAAGGAAAGCTCGTCAAAGAATTACTATACAATATGCATGTTTTTGCATATATATTCTATTTTGTTCAAATGTAACTAAATTCCACAATCAAAATTTTATTATTTGTTTGTACATGCCAACAACTTGTAATTATGGACAAGTGCAACGAACAAACAAATCAACAATAGTACAAAGTAGCAAAATCTTTGGACAACAAATTTGCCTGACCATTCCTTTTAGAGGATTGATGATTATTACAATTAGTCCTTTTCAATGAAAAATTATCCATAGGGACTACATACGTGACGAAAATTCAAACATTTATATAATCATAAAAGAAAGATAATTAAAAAATCGTGTAAATAATATAATTAATTACTATATTAACAAGAATTATAATAACTAATCATTTTCTTACACTTTTACTTGTGCTCTTTTTGTTAAAATAAAGTTAATACATATATGTAAATATATATGAACTTTATTTTAACTAAATATATACCTCGTACAACATAATTCAATATGACGCATATATGCAACATACAAGCACTACATACCATAATTTAATGCTTGAATTGATGAATAACATGTTATAGGATGAGGTATGATAAAGTTAATAATCATAAGTTTGGTAAAAAAAAAAAAAAAAAAAAAAAAAAAAAGAGCTTACTTTGACAAGGTTAGGGAGGACGGAACGTAGGGTGGCAAAGTGACCGTTGATACGCTTGCGACGGCGCCTTTCGGCCTCCTTGTGACTCTTGCAAGCTGCTAGAGCTTTAGCCTCAGGAGACAACCCTGCCTTTGATGAAGAGCATAACATAGACGAAGGAGAAATAGTGGTTGCACTAGCTATTATGTTGTGATTTATAGCGTTATTTGTAGTGTTTTCTTGAATTGTTGGCCTTAGAAGAAAGTTATTAGTATTTGGATAACTAATATTTGAAGAATTTCCCATTTCATAATAACTTGCCATTGAATTTACCAACATTTTTTCCCCTGCAATATAATGTAGGAAAGACATAAAAATGACATGAATATTAACAATTTTTTGTAAGAAAAATATATTGAAGACCAATGAAAAGATATGATACAAATGTTACACTTACTAAGGCATTTAATTTTAGTAGGAGGGGAAATAAAAAATAATAAAACAAAATAAATGTGAATTTTATAGTATGATTTTAATTTATGTGCTCAAAATATGAAATCTCTACCTTATTTATTAAGAATCTCTGAGGAGCAAAGATGTTGCTAGTTGTGTAGTGAAGAGTGGTAGCCCTAAATTGTGTAAAGTCCTACTTATAGAAGACTAGAAGAGTAATATTCCTACTATTTGTAGAAAAGTCATTTATTATTATATTAGTATTTTTAATTGGTTATTCTTCCTCATAGTACTACCATGTTTTTTTTTTTATTATTATTTTTTTTTAAAATTTTTTTTTTTTATTGAATTTTACTTTTTTCTCTTTTTTTGTCTTTTCTACTAACACAGTAAATGAGCTATTGAGCATAGTGATTTGATCTTTTGGGTATAAATTTATAATATATGCTTATTTGAAAAATAATAAATTAATGTACTGCATACTTTTTATTTTAAAGGAGTATGAAGTGTTTTCTTCATATCACTACTTAGCTTTGCAACATTTTAACCTGCTCATTAATTATCTGTCAACGCATGAGTTTGATTATAAATGTACAGCTAGAAAAAATTATAGTTGTACGTAATGTATATATATTAAGACTAATAACATATCATAGAATAACATTATTTGTGATAATTTGTTATATATATTATTGTAGTAAAATAAATATTACCAATGTTAACGAATAAATAATGCAAAAGCCCAATCAATTATTGCAAGTATTTTGAAACAAATGGAGAACGTACTATTGTGCTTTATTTTATTTTTTTATTTTAAAACTAGGTCTAATAATGAACTCATGCTATATATTCTTTGGTTGGTAGAGACTAGAGAGTGCAAATGAGCAATAAGGAAACAGTCCAAAAGATTAGTACAAAGAATATTCACAAAATCAATCTGTGTACATATATATACTTTCGCTACGTTTAGCATCCTTGTTTGCCTTATTCTCATGTTCTTGCTGTCTGAACTTCAAACTTTTTAAAATGCTTTAGATATTAATATATTTTTCGTTTTCCATTAAGTTATTGTTGATAAATTTTAATAACTAATTTAAAATTTTAACTATAATGGTGCATTGGTGCGTTTAATTCATGTGATTTTTACTTACTACGTAACTCATCAATTATCACATCTTGAAACTTATTTTCATAAAGTAGTTTATTTGAGCTTAATTTCCTAAATGCATTAAATATTAACTTATTTTAATAAATTCAGTTATTCAAGCTAAATTTCCTAAACTTATATTTTAAGAGCTATTAATCTGACCTTATCTAAATTTACATGTGATAAATTATTTATACTTCGTAACTAATAACCTGGAGAACCTTTTATATACACTCAGGTGTATATAGAGGTAGGTGCACCCGAAAGTGTTTTTTTTACTCATTTGATATAATTTTGCTTATTTTAGATTTTAAAATGAGCAAAATAGTATCAAATGAGCAGAATACACTTATGTGCAATTTACACCCGGATGTATATAATAATTTCTAAATAACCTATGGGTTGCATTAAAGCCATTAATGATCTTCATTACAGAGTGTAATGTACTACTACACCTTTTCTAATTTTTATTTTGCAATAAAATTGGAGCCATTAGTGGGAATGAAGCATGTGATGAAAATATTTAGGGACAAGGGGTTTTCAAGTTTTCATCTTTTGTAGGCGGTCTACCATTTTTAATGATCAATATAGCTGAACTAACATTGATTGCAAAATTTGGACTTTGAATTGTTGAATCATAGTCTCTCTAATATGTTTTTTTTTTTTTTTTTTTTTTTTTTTTTTTTTTTTTTTCGTAGACTCTCTTCTTATCATAATGAAGTAGCAAATTAATCTACACTCTCTTTTTACTTATTTCTCCCAACTTTATATACTTTTCTCCCAACTCTTTATATACATAGGGTATATTTTGTCATATTATATCGAATTTTCATATTTTTAGTACGTAGCTAGTTCCCAGAAAATGATTTTGGCACCCTCATTATGAACGCACAATTACACTACTCACAAAGACAAGTGCCAAAATAATCCATGGGATTGGATTACTTACTAGGATAAGTTTCCCTAGTTTACAAAGGGAAGAAACTAAAGCTAAGCAAACTAGAGAAGGACAAGCTGAAAAGCAAATAAGGCAAGTGGAATATTCCTGCAACAAATGTGTTTGGTTCAGCAGTGATAATGCCGGGACTTAGATGGTAAATAAACAAAGCTCAATCATTTTCTTACACACCCTGCTATTTTTTTTTTTTTTAATTTCAATATTAATCTACATACTTACGTAAGTAAGTTTCATTTTTACCGTGGTAAAAATATTTTAACACACACAACATTCCATTCATGTGCAGTTAAATTCCCTGATTTTTACAGTTGACAGTAATTATTGACACTAATTACATGGCTCAGTTAAATTTACTGTAAATTAATAGAAGTTACCTTTCTTAAAAAGTGTACTTTTATTGCTTAAGGTCGTCTTACACTTGACTTTTCTTAACTCTGTAAACAAACACTTTTGCACATTTTCATTTTTCTATAATTTCATACTTCTTACCTAAAAAGTAACCTACTTTTAGTTACAACTTATCATTTGTTATAACAGCAAGTATCATTATGATCGGTTCGATTTGCTTTTTTGTAACAGTTTTTTGTGTTTTTGACTAATGTTTTTTTAAGTTGAAACTTGTACGGTCTCCTTTATCAATCTCAAAGATTATTTAACATGTATCGATCATCATCTTTTAGGACAAAGTAAGTTTATTGACATTAACGGGGTAATGCAAGCTCGTAATGTTGCAGATTGTCTAGCAAATCACGTATGAGGGAGACATTCGATGTTTTAGTGTACGTGTACGTTAACATGTATGTAACATTGGACTAATACAGGTTTCACATTATATATGCTGTTAGAAGCAGTTCACACTTCACAGCAGACTTAGTTTGTGAAGGTCACGACATATATGATTGCATGAAGTCTCCTAAACAAATGATGGTTGTAATGATGATTGGTTTCTTAACATATCTAACATATCTAAGATGGTTATAATATTGTAATCTTAAAAGAAAACGAGTTATACAAATGCATGTATTATACAATTTAAAATTCACGGAATGTAATGAAGTATGATGAGTTTATGAGCCAAAATCTTTGTATAAATGAACTTTAAAGATGATTATGTACTACGGAGTAATACTTTGAGAGTACAATTCAATGCCTTTTTTTCTTTAGTAGATTTAAACATTGTCTAAAAACTTTAAAATAGCATGTTCTGTAACTTTGTAGAAACCCTAAAAAAGGCTCCACAAAATATGAAAACAAAATAGTCCAAAATTATAACCTTATAATTTCAAGTCAAGAATATGAATATGAAAAGAAAGAAGAGATCTGAAATTTCTGATCAAAAACTCTGTGAAATAGGGAACAACAAAATGAGCTGGACCCTAAATGTAACAGTTTTTTGTAGCAGACATTCCTCCTTCACTTTATCCAGCAATCACAGAAGATAATTGAGTATATTTTGTTCGGTTTCTTACCCTATTTTTCAACTTTTTTTGTTGATTTTCTCAAGAATAAAGTATAGACATATAACTGTTATACACACAAAGTACTTAGTACATGAACAACTTATAAGATGCATATTGATGTTCTATAGGTTTACCAAAAGTTGAACGATGATATATTATTGGATGGTCGAGTAAGAGAAACTACTACGAAGTATGTTAGTTAATCTCCATTCAGTTCTTCATCGTGAGATAACTAATTCCAACTCACATACATGTGAATTATTTTTCTACAGTTTTCGAGAGAAAAATAGTTCCGGGAAATTAGCAAAGTTACAAGTTTGAAGAAATTGAACTTATATGAGGGACAAAATCATTAGCAAAAAGAGCAGAATAGTAGATGGTTTGGTTTCAATAGCCCTGATTTCTGACTATGATAAGTGACGATTGACCTCTGAGAGGAATATTTTTAGCTTTGCCTTTATCCTTGTCCTTTGTTATTCTCTCTAATTCAATCACCAAAATAGTTGGTTCTACTTTTTTATTTTCTTTAAGAAAATTATGTGAATCTCTTTGTGTGAAATAACAAGTAATCATATCTTAGGACTTTCTGTCTTTGATATTTGATATTACCAATATATTATGACTTTTATGGACCCATATTATTCTGAAATTTTGTATACATACTCCTAATCTGGTCTTGGAAATGATATACTGTTTGAGAGCTTCCTTATTTTATTTGAATACATGTTAGGTAGTTCATATCTTGTCCTATTCATCTTAAACAAAATTTGAATATAATCTCAGCTCAACAAAAATAAGTTTATTTCAGCAGAAATGAGTTAATTTCATTTGCAATAAGTTTTATTCGATAAAGTTAGCTACTTTAAAAAAATATAGGTATAGAAAATCAGGAAAAATACATATTTTAACAAGTAAGAATAACTAAATTTCAGTAAAATAGTTATAATTCAATAAAACTAATTCAAGCTTTATAAATATGGATACAGCCTTATAAACAAAGTGCAATAATTTATTAATTAAACTATAACAACTTCCTAATGAAATTGGTTTATAGTGTACTAATTAAACCTTATTTTTAGTAAGGGCTTGTTCTCTTCAACTTAATTTCAGTTCAATTTAGTTCAAATCAGTTCAGTTCAGCTCAGTTTCTAATTTCCTTCTCTCATAAACAATTAAGTTCAACTACAATCAGTTCAGTTCAGCTCAGCACAGCTAAGTAAATCAGAACAGACCCTAAATTTCATCTTAATTGGATGAGTTGAAGAGAGCCTTAGAATAAGACAAAATCGCGCTTGGTGCAGCCAAGTTAAATACAGATTAGAGAGATGATATATGAATCAAAGATTAATTGTAATAGTAATATGGTGCTCAAGCATGTTTAGACATTTGTGTTATGAATGTTGCTTAATTATTTGTTACTATTAAAGCTTCATTATTTGGGATGATAGAGACCGTGAAATGAAAGAGATGTGTGAAAAGGGCCCAACCTTTTCTTTGACAGGGTTGTAGTATAGTCTTGCCCATCAACTTTTGACCACACCGATTTTGAATTTATGGAACAAGAATAACTTCGTTGTGATTTTTGATTTGGAGCTCAATTTGCTTCATGAAAGAGCAATGCTATATCATGCTTTCTCGGTTCTCTTTTAGTTGTGATAATTTGATTATTGTATACCAGGCCAACATTTGGTAAAGATTTTACGACTTGTTTTTTGAGTTGTGTTGACTAGAGTAAATGAACGGGGAAAGTATTATAATTAATCCTATATATTACCTCCGGTTCTTATTACTCGCAATAAAAGGGTATTATTTGTGAGACATAAAATATTCCTTTGTTGCGAGTAATAAGAACCGGAGGTAGTAGTATAAACATAACCAAGAACTAGAGGAAAGAATTAATAGCTAAGGTTATTTCTTGTAACATCTTTATGTTGATTTTATTTCTTGTATATGTAACTTTTAGTATTAACGACTAAAAAGCAATATAAACATGATAAAAAATTTCTAATGTTCTTGCAATTAACTAATAATTTTGTTCAAAAATCTGGTTCTGATTAATTCCTAGTGCAGTACCCTGGTCAAATTTGTACTGGGCACATAGCCACATACACTGACGTGCAATTTCCCCAAAACCTTGGTTCTGAGTCTTCAGACATCAGAGACAAAAATGATCCAAACCCCTGAGCCTGGCGGTCTAGGCCAGCCGTGCTTGGTTAATAACAAAATCGTGTTGGGTCATACCGGAGTAACAGTCCAGTTGCAAGCACTATAGAGATGGTCAAGCAGGCTTAACCCAGAAACGACAACAAAGTCCATCTGATGAGGTTCAGCTCAAATTGGTTAAGAGGTATGTGAAATTACAAATCATGATCTAATCTTCAAATCCGGCAGCTAATAGTGAGTGTACTAAATTGACAGTATACAAGGCCACATTAATATTTAATCATCACAGACCAGATACTATCTGGGATCTAGCCATACCTAGAACTGGCCCAAAACACTTGGTCTGGCCTACTGCGGCATGGTCCTTCGCTGGACCACTATTACTCGAAACAAAAATTGGCTAAGTCTAGTTTTGAGTTCAGCTAGTAGCTAGGCCCAATAATTTCAGAGCCTAATTAAGAAAAATGATTGTTAAATGAGTCATATAGTATGAACCAAATTGCACCCAACAAAGAGCAGATGGACGATGAACTTTCCAATTGTTCAAAGTTTAGCGTGGACTTGAGCTTCAAGCTCAGTTTGGGCTCAAATCAAAGCTAGTAATAGTGGAGCTGTTTTGTTTATTGGTTGTCAAAAAAGAGGAAAAAGAAAAAACAGAAAGCAAGAGTGCAGCTGTAACTGGATGATTTTCGAAAAAAATTTACATTTACATGAATATTGGAGCAGTAATTAAGAACCAAAACTCAAGGCACCTAGATGGTAGACATTTTACAATATTTTTTACATTCGCGATGTAATATGACAAATTGATACATATTGCAAAGATGAACGTATTAGTACCCCTAGAGTTATTGGTCTTAGGTTAGTCTGAGAATGACTCATACGAAGTACATAATCTTTCCTTGAATTTTATCTTAAACCGGCACAGACCAATCACAGCAAAGTAAGCGATGCAACAAAAGCAATGTGTACAAGTGTGCTTACCTTGTGGTTAAGCACCGTAATGCCATGTAACGACTGAACTACTGATGATCCATGGGAAAAAAGAGGTGACCTTGGAGCAAAACGAATGAAGAGAAATTACATGCAACAACCAGAGCGTGCTGAGGCCTGCAGCAGTAAGAATTGTCTATAATCTATGTGCTACTCTTGCAGAAACTAAAAAGTCTATTTTTTACAGACTACAGTTAAAACATGAATAATAAGCCCTTCCAACCCTACTCATAGAAATCAATGGCATATGCTGGGGATCTAAACCATCATATAGGATGATGGTTACCATTCATGCTTTAGAGCACAACACTGTCAAAACACTCCTCAATGGTAAGATAAAAAGAAAGGAAAATATGGCTGCTGCATCCCAATATCTAAGTGTCGTCTGTTTTGCATGGTGTATAATGCGTGCACACTCTATCACAATAATAAACCATACAAGTGACTAACACAGAAGAAATACAGATGATCAGATCAATAGTGTTTCACATATATGCTTCTTGTCTCCTTCCAAAATACAGAGATTTGGAATCAATATCCAAAAAATTTCAAAGTAGAAACTAACAGATGGTAGCGCCAGATGAATATTGATCAAATGGTACATTATTTAAATGTGATCTCAAGAAAACCAGAGAGAATGAAACAAATTCCTAAGTGAAGATTTCAAGTCTTTCTAAGCAGGTAGAAACATTCCAGCAGGAGCATGGAGCCCCAATCGCTAACAATTGTGAAATCTGGTGAAGATGCTTTGATCAGCTCTAAGGGGCACAAACAGTGACAGCAAGGGTAAGTGGGTGGCTGTTGGGCACCAACTAATGAACTAATCAATGATAAGATGAGGTCTAAGAGCACTCCCATTTCTTTCTCAAAGATCCCTCCTCCACATAGCCAGGATTCTATTTACATATTTCCACTTCAGTAAAGATGATGAATGATGAAATAAAGGCCTTCGGTGCCCATCACTTGTATCTTACCTTAAGCAAAATTCTCAATAACATAAGCCGAGTATTCTATTTACATATATCCACCCAAGTTTTCTAATCTTCAACTCTCTGCCAAGGATACAATCTCATTATCATTGTTTTCTACCAATTTAATTCACATTAAGTGTGATCTACAATAGCCCACTTACGCTCATGGCAACTCAATAATAACAAACATGTTTGCAAGTATAACCAACAATGTGATCAGTATTATTCAATCTCTATAAAAGACAGTGGAGAAAAGTGAACAAAGCCAAAATTCATTGACAAAATGCCAACCTAAAAGAATCTGCAATCAGAATATAGTATATGTAAATATGGAAAATCTACAACAGAAAGTACCTATGGAACTAAGCAACAATATACTTTTTCATTTAACCTAAGTTGCACAAACAAATCTGAAATTAGCATGCAGGAACTACCGAAAACAAAGAGAAAGATTTCCTTAATATAGCAATTGTTATGATAAGAATATCAGTAATATGGAACCACAGAAGATGAAAACCATTTACAAACTTGAAACAGTCATTTATCCACAAAGTCTAAATATAAATTTGCATTACTTTATCCCAAAAAAAGGGCAACCGACTACACGAAAACTTGGCTAATTTCATATTCTTCTTTTTTTGAAAGTGGCTAAATTAATCTAAAAACAAAAGTTAAGCTCCTGCCATCTACAAGACAGCCATTTCACCCAAAAAATTTCTTGACTGTCATTTACTAAACCATGCACTACAATATTAGAACATATCTACATTAGCTATTTCCAACGCCGAAGCATACCGACTGACCTGCATTGCACCTTGTTCCACTTCCTCTATCCATCAAAGTACACTATCAGGCCCAAATTCAACAAAAATCTCACCATTCTCCTCGAAGAACGCCATGTCATCCTGTTCGAAACCACTCCCAACCCCAACATCACCACCATAATCACCCTCGAAAACAGAACCCTCACCTACACCTTCATCCTCATAACCCCCAGTACCATTAGCAGCAACACCCTCATTGCTCCTTCTCCTCTTCCCCATCAACTTCCTAGCATTCCGTGCCACCGACTTCCGCTTCATTGCCCGGCCATTCCCCACATTCATTCCCTCCACATTGCTCCCAAAATTCTCCCCCTTCACCCCATGATCATTCTCAGACTCATCACTCTCATCGGCAATCTCGATGAAGTTAGTAAAATCAACACCAACATCAACCTTAGGATTGCCATTATCATCAACAACAAAATCCATTTTACCAGCTCGAGTCTTCCCAATTTTTCTCACAGGAAACAACCCCACAATAGGAGACCATGAATCAAATTTCCCAACCCCATTTTCAGGAGAAAACCCTAGAGGAAAATACCCAAAACAACTAAAATACTGCCCTTTATCCAATTCCATTTTAGGAAGAGAATTCAAAGCAACTGCATGAAAAGCCCTTCTACAACTCTGATTTTGACACCTTAAACAACACCCTTCATAAACCCTATCATACTGAAACATATAAAAACAGTAAGGGCAAAAAGTCCAGAAATTATCACCCATCTCTTCATCACCACCATCCTCAAGTTCACTCTCTCTCCTTTGACCAATAAGCTTGGAGTCAAACTGGGTTTTTTTGGCGGGGTCACAGAGACATTCATAAGCTTTCCAAATCAAATTAACTGCTTCTTTTGCTAATGGGGATTTCTCTTCAATGGGGTCGAGAATTGAGAGAAGGCGCTTAAATTGAGAACGAATTAGGGTAAAATCGTTGCAGAAAGTATCAATTTGAAGGATTGGGTAGAAATTAGTTGGAGAAGAAAGGGTATTTGAGATAGCAAGAAGTTGAGAAGCATGACGATGATTGGAGACAGAATTAGGGTCATGGGGTTGATGCGATTCAAGAGCATATTGACGACAAAGTGAGAAATTGCGAAGACGAAGATGGGTTTCAGCGAGTTGAAGAAGTTGGGAAGGAGATAAATTTGCATCTTCTTCTTGTTCTTGTTGGGGTGTTTCTGAAGCTTCTCTTGGTCTGTTCATGGTGATTTTTGGTGGGGTTGTGAGAAGAGAAGATGACGAGAGGAAGGAGGAAGAAGAAAGAGGAGTTTGTGTTGCTAATTTTGAGTGTGTGGGTGGATGAATTGGTCCTTTCTAGGTCAATGGGAAATGACGATGGCAAATGTTACGAGAGGGAGACATGTGTTGCGTTTAGGTTTAGGTTGCACGAAAATGGATATAGACCCGAATACGATGATAGGGTATGGAAAAATAGTTTTACCGAATTCAGAGCATTTATTTTCATGAGCAAATATATGGCAAAATATAAACGACCCTTCGTAAAAGGAAAATGATATATGCAATCTTTAGGGTTACATATTAAGTTGAATCAAAAAAAATTGAGTTGAGTAATTCGTATCATCTAATATTAATATCAAATATATTATTTTGGATTAGTTTATTACCCTCTACAAAACGATATGAAAATTAAGATTTAAACCTCGTATTACTCCACTCTTTAGAGTATTTCTCATTTTTCTGTCAAGTCTATCTTATATTCTTATTTCTAAATCCTAATTGTTAAATGTTTGCACCCTCCCTTCCTTCCTACATTTCATACCTACTTAATTTCACAATATCTAAGAGTAGGGATCAGTTGGTTAGAGATTTCCTCCAAGTTTTAGAATATTGTGCAATACAATTAGTCTTTTACGAGTAATAAAATTTACAAAAATCCGCCTTATGCAAGTCTCATATGAGTGAGATTGGAGAGTTGAATGTACATAAACAAGGTAAGCATTAAGCAAGATGGGTTTAAACGGGCAAAATCCACAGCGAAGACATGAATGATACGGAGTACTAGAAAGTCTAGAAAAGGTAGAAACTAGAAAGTGAGTGAACCCGCTTAAATTGCAAAAGGTGGATAGATTCTGGGCCCAATATAGTTACACTCTGGCATCCATTGTCCACGTGCTCACACTTTCACAGTCTCACTTGACTTTCACTCTAGGGTGTACACGTCGACAGTCATACAGATGAAAAGTAAACCAGTGACAGATCTTCTAAGATAATTGACAGTTCGACGCAAAAAGTAATTGAATACTCCCTCCGTCCTACTGAGATATATTGTACCCATTTATCTTGTATGGGTAAATTGATTAAAACAATAGGGTATAGGTCAAAAGTGAAGTAAAGGTTTTGCAATAATACAGAGTATACATTGGTACAACAGATTGTTAGTTTGTTACAATCAGACGGCATACATTCAATGAACGAACAAACAGTGTAACAAAGAAATAATGCACAAATGAAACTACGGAAGCCTAATGTTGATACCTGTGTTCAGTTAAGTAGATAACGTAGAATGAAAGTGATGTATAAAATGATGGATTGGAACACCAAATTTTCTTATCTATTTCTTCCATTTCAAACTTCAAGTACACGACGCCTCAGCAGAGAAAGACGAATGAAGAAAGAAAAAGATGTTAGCTAGCCTGATTGATAAGACCAGGATGTAGTAGTGAAAGTCATTTCAAACCTATCTGAAACACAAGGATTACAGTGTCAAATCGGTAGATCAAGCAAACTTCTTACTTTCCTCAGTAACAGAATGCTTTAATATTCCAGAGCTCTAACAGTCAACGTTGGCCTATGTTGCTCCCTGAAAAAATCTTGGGCAAAGATCCTCCCAAGTACAGTGAACGCAGAAAAGGGTTTGGGTGAGGATTCAGGATTCAGGATTTCCTACAGCACTTCAAATTTTTGTGGTTCTACAGGAATTACAGTGTGTAAGATAATTAACATGGTCTGACCTGATGAGGCCATAGAGATGAATATTGGTCAATCACTTCTCTTTGTACTATTTCTGACAGAGACAACCCTCTTCCTACGCAAAGTATACACCAAGGATGTGTAAAGCACAGTTGAAGCCACGATAAAACCGCCGATATATACACAAGCTGTTGTTGCACATACATACAGGTACCTGAGAGTAAACATTGTCAATTATCACAATTCACAAGCTCCACATAGGGATAAAAGCAATACTACATCGTCTACATGCATGATGCCTCGTAAATTTTTGTTATTCTTTTTTTATTCAGAAATAGAGCTAGGGTTAACTCCTTATAAAACGCCACTTTAAAGCATATATACTGATGAGGAGGAAGAAAGCACCAATACACGAAGTGTTCTTCTGTACTTGAAAATAAGTTCTTGTGCTTTAATATCACTCCCCCCAAGTGTCACAGTGTGGGCAGAATAATAAGTTTCTGATTTCATAAAAAAAGCTAGCATAATGCATATATTACTCATTTACGCATCTGGTAATACTTACTTGGGAGAGAAGACACTCCAAATAAATAAATGGTTCCTCATCTGGAGTAATACGATAGTATATGCTGATAAGAGAACAGAATTTATTCCCAGTGGAACAAGAAATGGAATAGCAAGCTCCGACTTCAGCAATTGCCCAAATTCCATGGTATGGTCCAGCACATTAACACTCTCATCTTTCAAAGAGATGTATATCATCAAAGAAAGAAGCACTGATATCGGAGACGCATAAGTGATGCAGAACATCAGTATACCAGAAAGTATGGTTGAGTGGCTTGAGATGCCCTAAAATTTAATCATTACACCGGTGTTAACAGCAATCAGATTGATGTAGAGCACTAAAAAATGAAGGCTGCAAGCTCAAGTATATCAGCTGACTTACAATGAAAGCTCCAGCAACATCAATGGTGGCAAGAGTGTTGCTATTGCCGAGACCAAAATGGCCAGTCATCCCAATAAAGTATAATATTGCAACCTAAAAGAAAGAATATCATTATTGAGTATAAGCACCAGGAATTATAAATAATTTACCTCAGCAAGTTTTGGCAGACTTGGGCTAAAAGCATTGATCAGAATTGGAAAGGTTAAAAGAACTTGGATTTGGATAAAACCATACTTCAAGTTACCTCAACCCATGGCTTTCGATTTGCTCCATCATTGAAAAAGTACATCATCGCTGCAGAGATCTGCAGCAGCAGCAAAAAAACTGGCATTGAGTTGATTGGTTGCTGCAACAAAAGCTGCAGCAGAGACCAGGAAATCATGTATGCCCATCCAATTAAATAGATAGACTCTTTGAACCCTTCTGACAGATGGATCATCTGATTCTTAACTGAATGAGAACCAGCTAACTGGCTATAAGATGTTGAATCTTTACAAATGGAGACAGGAGAAAGCCATGGAGAGGCTAATACAGTGAAGCCCGTAGCTATGCTCAGAACAGCGTAGACTATTTGAGCCATAAAGGTTGCACCATGACCAGATACAAGCAACATATTATCCTGATATATCATAATATGTTGTAAAACTAAACATCCTGACAGTAGAAAGCAGAACTGGAGGAGGTTGCGGAAAACTCTATTCAACCTTGACCTAGAAAATGAAAATAAGCTCAAGCTGGTCACTAAGATGCAGGAAACCACTCTGATTGCCTTTTTTATATTGCTTCCTGCTTGCTCAAGCCATTTTGATATGTCAGATAGATGCGTCCAGTTCACACCACCCTGATGCCAAGCTCTTATGATCCTACCACAAATGAGCATAACAAGAATTGGACACACTTGTGAGAAACATGAGTCGTAGTTGCTTTTATTAAGTCTGTCTCGCTCTCCTACAGGAAAAGATTTAATCATCTTACGGATTAGAATCCAGAACAGTGTTGATGTCAGAAAATGCCAAATATATTGCTCTTCTTCTACCATAGAACTAGATCCCATGCTCACAACAAGAATAACAATCACAGACACAACAAAAATCTCCTCTAGACTCCAGTTGTGCATACTACTTTTCATGTCCTTGAACCCTTGATTCCCTTTTAGGCATTCGTCTCTTCGCAAAAAGAACAGAAGTCTCAGAAATACTAGAGAAGAAAAGACCATTGCCAAAATACCTAAAGCAAGTTGACCAACAGGTTTCTGAAATTCATAAAACAGTTTGTTAACAAAATGGAAAATGACAGAATTAACCAGACTACTATCTATTTTGTAAATAAAATAAAAAAATTTATTAATTAATCTTCTGGAAGATCCACTCCACGGCCCCCTCATTACTACGGGAGTTTGTGGAGCGTAGGATTCCAGCCACAGACAAAACCACCAAAAATCCTTTCTTCAATTTGTATGCATTTTCCTTCCACCCCCCCCCCCCCTTCTCTCTCTCTCTCTCTCTCTCTCTCTCTCTCAGGTTGAAAATGTTTAATGTTCACAGCTTAAAAGGCAGTGCAGAGATAGGACATACATCAGTGACCTTGCGAGTCAACCACTCACTTGCAGTCATCAGGAAGTCATAATATGCAGTGACAGTGTAATTGTAGTGGTGGCTACCATCAGAACTGTTGAGAGAATTTAGTATAGGAACAAGTATTTCAGATCAGAAAGTTCATGCTATATAGAAACACAAATCCGAAAAGTTCCTGCAGTTATAAATCAAAATCTATCTCATTTTAAAAGAGCTTGGACCAACCTTGAAGCAGTAGACTTCCAGAAAGTGTGAAGTGCAGCAGCTTTAGAGTATAGGCAACAAAACATTTCTTCAGTAGCGCCACTGCATTGACTTATGTTGGACCATCTAGTATCAACATGGTCACCAGAATCTAAAGCAACACATGATAAACCAGGCAACTGGGCTTTAAGTAACCTCAGTAGTTGCCATGAATTCAATTCAAGCGCCCTCAGCAGCCGTCCATCTGGTCAGGAAGACAAGGTCTAAGCCTCTAAGGTGAATAAACACTAAGGAAATTGATCTGCATAATTAAAAAATATGCTGCAGCTTGCAACATCTACCTGCTAAAGACAGCAAACAGTCCACATTGGCAACTCCAACATTGTTCTTGGGAATTGGCACACCAAAAAGAAGAGCTAGTGTAGGAGGAATGTCAACCTAGAATAGAGAAAGAATGTGATCGTAAGACACTAAATATCAAGTAACTAGTAATTATAAACAGATATTCGGGAGACGCACAATTCTCTTATTTTATAATTAATTCAGAAAACAAAATTTTACTAAACATCAAAAATAAAAAAACTACTGTAGAATACATTTACGAATTATATAGAGCAACTTCATATAACTCTGCAAATAATCACAAACATGATATTTTTTATGATAGGACATTATGTTGTAAACAGCTGTTACCTGATTCATGGTATCTTGAATTGCTGACACATTATCTCTAGGAGCTTTTGAACTGGCACCAATAAAAAGAGCCAAAGAATCAGTTTCTTCATATGCAGAGCCACCATGATTCCCGCTCTCAGTCATGCCATGATCACTGACCACAAGCTGCAATTTTATGGGGAACGTCAAGAGAGTCAAACAGCAGAAATAGTACCACTGTGCTTATTGCAAACAAAAATTTTAAAAATTCAGAAATCCGCAGCAAAAGAGAATCATCATTAATAAATTCAGAAGGAACAGCTATTATGGGACAGTTTCATCATATCTTCATTGTACCATACAAGAATGTAGCAGAGTATATTGAATTGCCCAATAAATAATAAGTGTATAAATGCATAAAAGCAGAATTTGTGATGAGTGTTCAGCAGGTTAAATAATTGATTATGGACAAATAGAACTGCCTCAAATCCCCAGATTAGTATATAATAATCAGTCATTAGTCAGGAGAGGAATAAATTCAACAAATGGCATTGTCTCTCATCTTCTTATTTCGTACTGATCCCTACATGAAACACTCAAAATAAGAGGATATATATTGCAGAGGATAACAATAGGCCTATTTTATGGCATGGAAGCTGAAATGGGGGCCTCGGAGATTTGTTCAAAAATCCTTAAGTTCTTTTTTCTCAGAGTCTCTAGAATAAACCGCGAGTTCGATCCCTCGCAACAACAATTGGGAGGGGACTGGAACCTAACCACCAAGAATTGAGCCCTGAATCCGGAATAGCCCAAATGATGAACCGGGTGGAACACTTAAAAAAAAAAAAAAAAAAACAAAAAAAGAGTTGTTAGAATAACCCCAAGACCTTGGATCAAAAGATTCAAAACCTGGAGATGTTTCCTCTGCTGGTTCCTTATGTGAATGAATAGCTGGAGAATGTAAGATCTACAATGACCAATGGACTGATGACTTCAATTAGAAATCCGGTGCAAGTGTGCAACCACTCAAGCATGGCTAAGCAGCAAGCTACTTATAAGGTGCATAATAGAGTGACAGTATTGGAATGGAACTTACACACTATTGCGTCTCACTATAAGGGACTTGTAGAGGCATCAACAACAGAGATATTATAGAAGGTAGATTTGCTGATCACTTCGTGCTATGCAGGGAATACCTAGATTCCTAGACAGCAGAAATGAGAAGCTACAGTTGGAATCAAGGATGATTAATGCTGTTGCTGATTGTCCAATTTAAGAAGCTAGAACTGGGAACATGATAATAAAAATGCCTGCCTAATGTTTCCTCCAACAAAAAAAAAAAAAAAAAAAAAAAAAAAACACACACACACACAAAATACATAAAATGCCTTTTTACTCCCCTCCACTAGTCCGCAACAATCTCTTGAAGATATATGTTTCTGCATATCTAAGGGCTGCCCGGTTGTCATACTAACCCATCTGACCAACCTCTGCTCTTATAGTAGAGATAGTTGCACTCTAACTCTAAGGTCTAGACAGTTTATCTATGAATCACATCAAACGCTGAAAACCTCACTTTAGGTCCTGATTCATAGACATGCCTCCAACTAGGATACTGCCACAATGGCATGCCCATGGTAATTCCATTGCGCACCCTTAGTCTCATCAACACCTTACCACTTTTTGGGGTGGTAGTTACTGAGGATATACAGGACAAGGTAGAGCTAGTAATCATGTGATGAGACATATCCTTAAGGAAATTTTGGGTCAATTAGGTGGCCACAGGCATATAAATTATCATATTCTGCATGGATTATAAGAGTTATGTGGCATCAAAACATTTCAAATTCATCCATGAAAATCTAGCAGACCAGAATAGAGAACAGAAAACCCTGCAAACTAATAAATTAAGCATTAACTGGATTACTATTAATTGAGGACTAGGCAGGGCCTCAAGAGCAAGTAAGAACAAACCAGAAGGGTATCTCCTTGCTTGCTGTCACTGGAAAGAACACTATTCAAATGAATCATCTTGATCACATCATCCATCTCCCGTAATTTTGGGGGCATCAGGACACTGACATTTTTTTAAAGGGAAAAATTCAAAATCCAAATAGCTAAGCACACTTACAACAAACTCAGATATGAGAAAGAAGAATTACCTTTTCCGTCCACCGATATGTCCGACATGGTCCACTCCTAAATAATGAAGGATCTAGAAATATGTTGTAAGAGAACAACAAATTAGAATAAAAGCTTTTTACTAATCACAAACAACATCTTTAGAAAATCATGTCAACTAATGTCATCCAGTGTCTCATACAGGTCGGAACATAATAAAACCAAAAAAGGCAATTCATGTTTACACTAAATCCAACTTGATCCATGTATCTATAGTAACAAATCAGTAAACATGCCAAAAATTCCACCTGGAGATCTAGAAGGACAACAACTCATCATTTCAGCCTTTGCTTAGGAGAACCAAGTAAAAACTTTGGGAAAAAGAGGGCAGGCAGGAATTGATCTGTTCTCACCAAATCCCAGGAGGAGGCAAAACAATTCAGCAGCAACAACATTACTTCATGGAGATAACCTTCATGGGTGATTCATGTGAATACTATTATTCATTAACATAAACTTACTACTTAAAAGTACCTTTATGTCCATGCCTTCCATTGAATTACTCATCCACTTTGATTTCACGTATCATTATTAAGATATATGTACTTAAATTAGGAAATGAAAAACAACCTAACACCACAAATCACATGAGTGAAACTAGTAGCCATATATTATAAAAGGCTAGCAAGATATTATGTTTCAAAATTGAAAGATGATTGCAGAATTGACCGGTGCCAGTTAAATTCCCAAGCACTGACAGAGGTTCAAGTCTTATAATTTCTATATACACAGAAACTATCAAGAAGTGAGGGCTCATAAATTACCATGAGATGCCAATCATCCTGATAAAGTTCTTCAGGCAAATGTCGAGACACGTTGAGATCCACTACTACAGTGTCCTTGACCTACGCCAGAGATCAAAAAACATGGAAAAGATGAAAAAACACAGATTCATTATAATTCCAATTGCCTTACTAATGACGAATAAAAGAAGAAAAAAAAAAGGGTAAAAGAAAAAGATGCAGCTATATGAACGCTCGCCTCAAATTGCAAAATATAGACTATCTATTTCAATTTTCATTTATATTTACAATGATGACTGGATATCATTCCAAATAAAATAACAAAGGTAAAAGTGTATACCTCATATTTTCAAATGAGAAGCAAATTGCTATTTCAATAATAAAAAAAAAATAGAAAATAGAACATCCAAAGCAGAAAACTTTCCCCATTCTATCGTTTCTTTTCCAACAACGCTAATTATGGCACTACATACTTGATTACCACATCATGTTAAGGACTTAAGGGAGAGACTTACAAAGAAGCTACTAACTCCATCTTGCCTAGTAAATAGCTTTGGAAACAACTTCAGCCAAGTTTCATCACCAAACATTGTCATTTTCCAGCCTATTCTAAAAAACTGGCCTGTAATAAAATAAATAAATAAATGAAGTCCCTCTGATCCATCATCATCATGCAAAAAAGCTACACGGCCATGCAAAACTAACCCAGAAGATTGTCATCTAAAAAAGCCTGTGTATTAAAATTCAATGCTACATCCAGGAATCCACCAATAGCACCAGAAACCATAGCCTGTTAAATTAACACCAAGGTGAGCAAAAAAACTGACTAGAAGAAACCTACCGAACAACAATCAAGCAGTATAAACAATACCATTGACCTTCAAGCGAGGCATCGTTACAGTTGGTGGTGCAGCCTTGGCATGATACCCAATTGCCATATTGTTTGCTAATAACGAATGAGTGTAGGGCATAGCATCTATAAAAGCTTTAGTAGGAGGTTCTCCATCCTTCCCAAGCACAAATTCTGCTGGAAGACCATCAACAACCTAGAATACCATGATCGTATTATGTAATTGATAGCACGTTTCACCTCAACACTCCACCCTCAAAATACCCATATAGGTGACACAAAAAAGAGCATTTTTATAAATGTAACCAAAAAAAAAAGACAAGACAAGCAAAGGATGTTACCATGAGAATTAATCTGCTATACAGTGGAGGGACATCTGATAACTCCTACACCATGAAAAAATGATAACTTCATTACATAAAATTAAATTTTCTGATAAAAAAAAAATGTTCACTCGTATAATATTCACTTACGATAAATAATCATAAACTGCGACTTTTTCTTAACAATAACAAATATTTTAGTCCAGTCCAGTCCTACCCTAAATATAGTGGGAAATTTTTAATTTGCAAACATGAACAAAATGTAGGACAAACAAAGTGGATTAAAATTATTTGCATTCCCCACGATAAGTTAAGTTTCACAAGTTACATAAACTTCGATAATAAGTTCAATTCATCCCTACGACAGTAAGTTCCGATAAGTTCAGATAAGTCCAATGCAATTGATTCGAACACACCATTAATCTAGGAGTAATACCCTATAATTCTAAAACCAAAATCCATAAATCAAAAACAAGAAAACATCATCAAAAAGTTCGAAAGGATCAAACCAGATAAAGAGAACGAAGATCATCGGAATTCATTGAGGAGACATTGAAATCTTCAAACGAATCGATTCCAGGAGGTTGAAAACTCTCAGGACCACTAAATTACAAGCAAATTCCAACAATTAGGAGAGATAAAGTGATGGAAATCTAGAGAGAGAGTTAGTAAGAACCTGGAGCCGGAGAGAACAGGCTTGACGGGGAAGAAACCGAGGACGAAGAGGTATAGGCCTGCAATTTGCAATACCATGGCAAATATCGTCCAGATTGTGAGTTTTGAGCATGAAATCGACGACATTTTTGAAGAAAACTAAGCAATTTGGAGCTTAAGCTAGCAGCAACAATGGCGGATTTTCTGCTCTAGGAGATTGATTACTGTTAAGATTTCAAAGAATGTTTCCTGGCAAACCTTCTTGAACTATACACAGTAAAATGACTAATGTCTCCTAATTAAATCTCAATTTCATGATTTTTTTTTTTGTTTAGGGCTTATAAAAAGAGTAGTTACTCGATTTTAATGAGATAATACAAGTTTTTCTAATGACATTTTCGTGAATAAATCAACAACTTTTTCATTAATATGAGCTTCATAATTGATGGTGATTAGATAAATTTGTTGATTTATTTACGAAAATACTATAGGATAAACAAAAACTGAGAGTAATTGGGGCAAACTCGATTTTAATTACCCAATGTTAATTTTTTTGTTCAAGGCTTATATATTATGGCTTATCAAAATGGAGGAAAGAGTAAAAGTGAAAATGTCCATCTCAACACAATGAATACTCTTTTTGTCCTAAATTAATTTACTTGTATATACTTTTTTAAACGGTTAAAAGTGAAGGTCTCACACTCTTTTATATCAAAACTATTTTACTATATGCCATAATAATAGTATCAAAACTATTTTTGCAATAAAATGACAATTGATAACCAAACAACAACTTATCACCTAAAACTATATGTAATAATAAGTGTCAAAACTAATTTGGAATTGAGTGAGTGCTCGATATATTCATCTTTATCGAAATAACCATTTCTTTATTACCCTCTCGCCCTCTTACTCTCATGATCTATTGATCTCCATCGGCCATCACGCATTACCAACGCCAAGATGATTGGGCAAAACTTTTTGTTCAATCCTTGATGCATATGGCTCGTACTATGGAGGTTAGTGGCAACGCTCATACGAACCTCATCAGTCATCACCCTGCATTCAATTCTTCAACTACAGAGAATTTCTTATCCTCCTCCCACTCTTTGATACAAATGGTACGGTGTGTATGACTCTTTGGCTGGGCTAGTAAGGCTAATGTGATAACACCCCTGCAGAATTGATTAAAGTGATATAACATAACAAATTAACAACCTCGAGACAACGCATAAGACTCTTCATCTGTGCAAGAATAATGTTTTAATTATAGCTTTATAAGCTTGGATGGTGCATTGGTGTTACACTTACCAATAATAAATATTAGATGTATCCATAATAGGCAGCAAGACCTGCCATTGATGGTATTCAGCAATGAAGGATTGATAGATATGTATATATATACTCCGCATGAATACAGGTGAATGGCTGACATAGTTCGTCAACCAAAAACTCTTGCATGCTCCTGCGTTTACACAAATAACATAAAGACTAATGTAAATCAACCCTTCATATGTGCCAACTTCTCAAATTCTCAGCAATGGGGGTGATTTCATTAACAATGAAGAATCGTACAAAATTTACACATAATTCCGTAGTGTGTCAAAATGAAATCCCCTAGATAATATACACACAAGGGTGTTAACAAAGAAAGATTTTCATCAAAAAAAAAAGGAAGACTGGAAGAGAGTGGACTGATAATACATACAACACAAACTAATGGAGTTACAGTTGGATCATTGGATGTACCCATTACTTCACATCCTTCAAAATGCCCCCTTTTTCCAGCTCATTAACAAGATCTCTCAGGGCAGGAACTTTCATTGCCAGAGTTCTATACAGTCGGGAATACCGAGCTCTTGTGCCATCAGCAGTTCTTGCTAAGGCAAGCAAACTAAGAGCCTCTGGAAGTTCAGAGAATAAATTTTTCATCTCCTCCAGTGTCATATTTTCCAGAACTGTTGGTCTTGGAACAACTCTCACAATTTCACCACCTTTAGGTTCCTGAACCTTAGCCTCCGCTTTGACCACCAATTCTGAATTTGAGTTGGCTCCACATTTGATAATAAATGGGGTTGTGGAGCCGGTGTTAAATTGTAGAACATTCCACTGCGATACATCAGTTTCAGTAGCATAACCGAAATTTGACGATGGTTCGTGAGCATGGGAAGTTTGGAAACGGTCATCTTCTTCAGCAGCAGACTGAGTAGTTTTTGCCAACAATTAATATACTCAGTATTCAGTAGTTCAAATAAGCAAATATAATCAATAGATCCCCTCCCCCAAAAAAAAAAAAAAAAAAAAAGTCAACTGATCCTATGATTTCTTATATTTCCGCCGTTTTTTAAATATTGCACCACTTGCCTTTTAAAGAAGTTTCACAAATATAGCACCATTTCCATTTTAGGAAAGCAAATATTTGTGTTCACACTACAAATACCCTATATACCCTTACCTTTTAACACTTGATTCTTTAATTATGTTTACAATCACATGGGCAAATTTGTACTTTTACCTTTCTCTCTCTTCCTTTTTTCCACTACCAAAAAAATCGTGCTCAACCCTTATAGTGCAATATTAAAAGCACGGAGGAAGTATGTATCTCAGATCAGATTCGAAAAACAAGATCCTGACAGCTCAATACATGCCAATATGCCATGCCACCCAGTACTTCAAACTAAGCTAGTAAAATGACAACAACTCAACATGAGCAACCAAACTGGATGATAAAGCAGACTCCTGCATAAAGTAGGACTGCAACTGAAATAAAAGGGTATCCACTTCATCTGCTAATGCCAATTATCACTAAACCCAACCAATAGAACCAAAAAACAAAAGGTAAAAGAATGACAGTGAACATGAAAGAAAACAATCCTACCTCTACGATTGAGCGAGCCTCAGCAATTTGCCTTTGTGCACACGGATGATCAATCTCAAGAAGTGAGGGCATTTGTTCAGCAAGTTCATCCAGAGAAGAAAGCATTGCTCTTTTCTTATTTTTACTCAAAGAGTTTATGGAGGCCTGTCTTGTAATATCCTATAAATGCGTTTGTGCTCACTCATTAATCATCTGGGGAATGTGGGTAATCAATTTATCAATAAAGAAACAATATGAACAAAAACCCAACCTTGACTTGCGTCAATATGCCATCAAGGGAAATGAGAGATGCAAGTCTTGCATCTTCAGCTGCAGTAGAGGGATTCGGTATTGGCAAGCCACCACCTTCCAGTGTCAGAAGAGATGATTCACCTTTCATTTGTTGCAATATCTGAAAGGGAATGGAAATATTGGAAAAACAATAATTCATGTCTCGTACAAGCAACAAGGGGTAGCTAAATAGTAAATATTGCCACATAATTTCAATGCTCTCTCATTAAAAGACTCTTGTATGGCAATGACGCAACCCCTGGGCTCACATAGTTAATAAGTCTTTCGATGAGCTAAGATATTACTCTGCAAAACATTAATGGTAGATATCGGACATGGAATTGTAGGTAATGCCCTATTCTAGCCCCAACCCAACAAAACAAGAGACCCCTTAAATGTACTAGCAGCTGGTTCAACTCTTACATTTAATCACAAAAGAGCAAAAAGGAATGCAACTATGCAAGTCCTGAGTACTTTAAGTTCCCACCAACAAAAAAAATGAGAAAATGAGCAAAATCATGGTAGCAAAACTTTAGCACATGTTTATACCTTCCGCCTTTTGTGATCAACAGACTCAAGAGCAGAACGTAGTTTTGCCACAGTAGCTGGATCTTCTGCTGCTTCCATAGCCAACGTGCCAGCAATATCCTGATAGAGTATGCACAGTTTTAGATTATAATGTGTATGTGCTATCAGAATCTACCACAGCGTGCCTACTACATAAAAATAGTACTCCCTCCGTCCCTAATTGATAGCCCCATGTCCCTCATTTCATTTATTCAAGTGCTGTATTGAGTGATTAAAAAGTTGTCCTTTTTCATGTGGGATAACAAATAAAGTAGAGAGGTGGGGACCATTTTAACTATGAATACAAAGGAACGATCGGTGGGGCACAAACCAATAAGGAAAATGGGGCAATCTTTAGGGGCAGATGAAGTACAAAGAAATAGGGTGTCCTATGGCTATATGCAATATATACCTTCAAGTGCTGCAGCTGAGATGTATAAACCCGTTTTGTGTACTCAGATAGAAGTTGACCAAGAGCATCAGTACTGGGAGGCTGAGCAGCACCAAGTCCAGCCATCCAACCATCCATAATTGCAGTTGAGAGGAGCTCTAATTGGCCAGTATTACCGGCTATTGCATCATCACTTGTTACTGAAAGAAAATCAAAGTTCTCAGCCAACCATGATCTAATCTGACGCTGTAGCTCTCCAGCTGGTGTATGAACAAAGAGAGCAGCAAGAGCCTTATTCCCAACAGCAAAGCTTTTGGCCTCCTCTGTTATCTCTCGGAGTTTTCCACCAGTTACATGTTGCCTCCAAGTTTCCTGCAAAACAGTAATGGAATTAACACATTCCTTCATGGAACATTTTCCAACTAAAACAAAACCAAAGCAATAGCATTTATTTATATGCTGCACTTGTATTGTAGTCTGTAGACGCACAAACTTACTTGTAAAATTTAGCATCTTGATTGTCAAGAAGAAGCTTACTCAGAAAATGAAAAATACATAAATATAGCATATCATATGAACATGCCAACCTCATCAATACCCCGAAGCTTCAAAACCACAGATGAAAATTTAGACTTCTTTTCCTGCTTTATATTCACTCTAAAACCTTGGATTTGTCCCTCAGCCAGAGAATTTCTAGGGCTCAAATCATAAGCAGGAGATCTGCCAGGGCTGCTTGCACGACTAGAGCTCCTACTTCTTCCATTAGAGGCTCTCTCTAGAAATCGATCAACTGGAGCAACCTTAAGAAGAAATGTATAATCAACCACATGAGCTTCTATATATTATTGCAAATAAATTTGAAGTGGAAAAAAATTGAAGCAAAAAATATACTATTTTTACAATATTTACACATTACAAAGTGTAAAGAGGGCAACGTTTCTACCTTGATAGATTGCAGCTCTGGAGATCTAGAAATCAAAGATCTTATATACAATATCCTCACACGAGATACGAGCATAGTGTCCATCACCCTCTTTGGCTCCATCTTACGAATAAAAGAGAAGACAGCATCTCTAATTTCTGCAAGTATTTCATGCTCTCTAGAGGCACCAGCTTTTATAACAGCTGCAAGAACCTGAATTGCAGATAAATCAAATTGGTTAAAAAATATCTAAGGATTCCCATCTATATACCCATGCCCATCTATGTAACATAATTAGGTTCTTCAGAAGATTAGATGTCAGATAAACAAAAGCAATGTCAGAGGAAGGATGCAAAACTTGAAACAAAAAAAGACACCTGAATATTTAAACCCCAACATTGATACTTGACACACTCAGAATACTGGTAACATCAGAATTCAGAAGCACATTCACAGACTGACAGAAGCATCATATTTTAAAGTCCTGGCTTTATTAGGGGGATAAAAATGAGAACCTTAAACGAAGATGGTATTAGTGGGAGGGATCTTCATACATCTATGTGTTTATTTTTTGGGTTGCTGTTCAAGGAAATACCCAACTTATCCATAGAATTACAGTATAAAAAATTTAGACAGGAAATGCATTTACTATTGTCATCAATCAGCTCAGATTAGTGACCAAAACAAAGAGATATGAGGACTGGAAAGAAAGATTAAGGGAGGAAGAAGAGAGACTAGGGAAGAGCAAGTAAAGATATGACTAAAACAATGCTAAGAGTACTACAGCCTTGCCAATCTTTCGAGAGGAACGGCACTGTCTCAAAACTACAGATTCTATATATAGATCTTTCCCGCTACTAACTAACAGTCTTCCCCTATAAGCTACTAGACAACTATTTGTAATGCAACTTCCTAACTTGCCCTTCTCCCTAAACATCAATTACTAGCAACTTTACTCCTTCACGTTGTCAGTTGTTATTCTTCTACAACTGTATAAAGGCAGGGGTAAACTAGGATAGTTAAAAAAAGAGACTGAATGAGATCCAGGTTAAGCGGTATAGGGCCAGCAACAAGAAGATATATCTAGCATCAGGATAAGGCTAACTATATGTTACACTAACAATGGAATTAAATTTCTTTTTCTTGGAGTTGGGTTATCTTCCATAATAATTTATAATCACATAGCAAGTCAATTTTGATCAGCTACCAAATAGAGTGAAAATTTAAACACAGCCTAGCAAAAGAACCACAAGATATCTGAAAGAATCACAAGAATTTCCTTGATCATACCAGCATCAGAAGTTTATTTGCACCATCTGAAATAGCAGCCAGGCCCTCATACTGTTCAGGGTCAAAGTCATTCAAGGCGGCAGTTAGATATTCACCAGCTGGGGTGGTTTTTGCTAATTCATTCCCAGGCTTGACCAAAGCAACTGCCATTTCCCCCTTACCACCGGCTGTTGATCCAGAAACCACTTGAGTAGAATTTCCAGTGCTGTTACTAGTATTGTTCCTGGCCACATGCCAAAATAAGAATCATTTCTCGCTTGGAATGAAAGAACAAGTAAAATCAGAAAACCACCACCCTGTTACCCACTCTATCCAGCCAAAGAGAGCTCACATACACAGATGACCGACCAAAGAAAAAAAATTCAAACAAGAAAAGTTACTAGTATTGATGTGCAAGAAAGGTACCTGGCCAAGTCCTGGTTCTGGACATTAGATTCTCGTCTAGATAATGGACTAGACACCTGGAATACAACAATATAGGAGCTCAGCATGCAGGTAACGAAATGCAGCAGTCACAAAACACAAATTATATAATCCTCGACTTTGGATTGCAATTTGAGGAGAAGAAAGGATGCAAAGAGCCAATATTGCTCTCTGCCATAAAGTCGATGGACTCTGAACATGTTAAGAGCTATGACTTTCTAAGAGATTCCTCTTAAGAACAAATGAATAGTAATTATATTAAAACAGCATTATTGGCAGCTGATTTCAGAACAGTCTGAATCCAAATATGCATTTAACATACAATTTTTTGTGTTTTTTGTGAATAGAAAGAGTGAGAAGTTGTGCTACAAATCAAGTCAGATTTCTCAGCGAATATATGTAGCCAACAGTTCAGTAAAATTTAAGTAGTAATAAGAAAAAAATTAGAAAAACTTAGGGAAAAGCTTGAAAAACCTGTATTGGATGATCAGTTAAAACAAACTACAGTACCAACTCTATGAGGGGTGGATTCCCACTAAATAGTTTCTCACACTACATTCAGCGTGAAGCCGTGAAATCCCTCTACAAGTACTTCCACTACATGAGCTACTCCACTGCTGTGCAGCACAATATTCTTTTAAACCAAGCATATTATCAAAAAACCATCACTTTTTTTCCATAACAAAACGCTGACAACAAAAAAAATCTTTTATAAATTTCCACTCCAATCCCTGGGGTATCTTCTGGAATAAGCGAGGTTAAGCAAGATTCGTAGCTCGTTGTCACCCTACTCAATTTTTCTATGAAGTAGCAAATTATACAATTCTTATAAGAATATTAGTCATTATGCACCCATGATGTTTCAATGATGTATCATCTAAAAAGGAAACGAAATACGTCATTTCATTTATACTGTCAAAAAAAAAAAAAAAAAAATTCTAGTCTTTTTTTTTTTAAAATATTTTGCCAAATGGGCTAATATTATACCTAATACAAGTAGTCTTCGACATCAAAATTATCTTGGCATGTTCTTAAAATATGACAACACAAATGGGACAGAGTAATAAAATGAGTGAAAACAAAATGCAGTAAGTCTTTCCAACTTGAAAGCAGGGAAGCTTAATATAAACTGATGACACGAACATTCCACTGGCAAAAAGAGAATCATGAAATAAAAACAAAGCTCAGAGCATTTATGATGTGTATGTGTGTGCATAGCTAGATGTAAATATGGGTGTATGATTTTTGGCAAAAAAAAAAAAGTTACTTGATCTACCTGGGAGGATCCAACTGAAGCTGCTTTTCCTGTTAATTTGTCAAATAATTTCTCATTTTCTTCATGCAACCTCTGTGATGGAAACATAACAGATTTATATCTTGGGCTAAAAGAAGGTTAAAACTCAAACAACAAAAATCCCAAGAAGAATACAAGTTCCAGTCAACTTTTCTCACAACATACATGATCTCCTCCAGCAAGGTTTGGAAAGGCTTATTAACCTTAAAAGGAACAGAAAAACCAAACGAAATTGACTACTTATTTAGAAAATGATTAAGTCTTGTAATTTGTTTCTTTCATTTATTTATGAGCTTCTTCAACTTTTTAATGGAAGGTATGCTAGTGGTGGTAACAAAGTTGGTGACAACTGACAATAAACAGTCATCAGAGAAACATGAACCAAATTCTTTAAGAGTTGTAATCTCAAAGGTGTATCCTAATTCTACAGACTTCGAAGGAAAATTCTGGAGGAAAGCAAGCTAGAGGGAAAACAGAATATTTTTACATGCACTAGATGTAAATTTTCACCCATCCCCACCCCCCCCCCCCCCCAAAAAAAAAAAAAAAAAAAAAAAAAAAAAAAAAAAAAAAAAAAAAAAAACATCATTTTATCTGTAATCAATGCTAAGCCAAAAAAAGTTCATAGGAAAACTAGAAGCAGAAGATACTTTTTGATTTTATGTTTGAAAGATAAAAGGAAATGCAACAGACCTCAATCAAGGCATCTCTTTTCAGGAGTTCTTCTTCAAGCTTCTTTGTAACAGCCGATGAATCCACATTATCCTCTGCAGCCTTGAGATTTGACTCAGGCACACTCCCAGATCTACTTTCAGCAGAACGAAGGGCCTCATTTAGCTGTTGTTCTAAGCTCCCAATTTTAGCCTAAAGAGAAAAAATATAGTTGGAGTAATATTATGATTTCAGAAATAAGAAAATTGTTATTTTAAACCTCAAAAGTCAAAAGCATTATTTAAACAAAACTTGTAAAGTTGTAACTCTTGTAAGTGACTGCTTTCATGGTAGAAATCTTCATTCTACCCTATTTTTTTATTATGCGATAACAAACACTAGAGATGTAGAGGAGGAAAGATAGGAGTGCAAATTTTTGCACAGGTCTTCTATCACTAATGCTTTGGGAAAGATAAGGACATGAATATGCATGAAAATTACAATAATCTCCAAAGAGCAATATTTCACAAGCAAATATTTCAACAAACCAACAACTTAAAGAGAAAAATATAGTTGGACATGATATGCATGAAATGACTATAATCTCCAAAGACCAATAATTCACATGCAAGCAACACCATGAAGATCATATGTATGGTTTGCATATTAATGAACTAATTTATAAAGAGCACGTGATGAGCTAAGAATATTCAACTATTTCTGCATTTTCCAGAAAAAAAAATGCATGAACTAGGGTCAAGACAGAGAAAATGAGGAATATATAAAGTTTACAGAAGGAAGCCCAGACAACAACTATCAATTTTCCCTCAACCCCACCTAACATATCAGTCTCTTGATGGTATGCTTCTTACCAATGTCTGCAACAGACCATCACTATCAATCAACGATCATACTCTAACCATCCTTGCTAGGACCACATATAATTTCCCTATTTTCTAAACTTTATAAAGATTAACACTAACCTATCCCAAAAGACACATATCAGTGGTCTTGGTGGTTTCTGAGCAACAGAAATAAAAGAAGCAACAAGGACAAGCATATCAGCATGTAGCAGAGAGGGCTAAAAGATTATCAGCGCCAAAATAAAGTCCATCCGATGGATACTGATTCTTAGCTGAGACAAGCAAGTTTTTCTACTCTAAAGCTGCTTCCAAGCTACCAAGAAGGGAAAAGAAAGTTCAATCACCAAGAATTCATATTTCATAGTTTGTCTCATTACTAAAATCACCCATAGCTGCCTAATGTAAATCCTCTTATAAGACAGCCAGAATCAAGGAATCTTTTGGTGCTGCCAAAACAGGATACAATATTGCTAATATCATCCTGAATGCAGGTGAGGAAGCTGACAATTGACAGTATCAAATAGCACGCACCTGCAGGTTCTGAATTGTTGTATCTCTTTCTTTTATTTGCAACTTTTGTTCTTGCTCTGCTTGCAATAATTGAGCAACTTGATTCCTCAGTTGAGCGTTCTGGTCTTTCTCAATTTTATGCTTGTCAGCAAGCATTATATTTTCCGCCTGCACCGTAGTAGGATTCAAAATCTCAGAAAGAATGTAAAAATGAAAGCATAAGCTCAATACAAATAATTTAATACAATTTTAATTCAATCTGCAATATTGTCATCCCCCCCCCCCCCTCTCTATAAAGTTGTCATTTGAATGTTATGGCAAAAGCACTCACGACAGTCTTAATCAGGGAAAAGTTAAAAACAACAGAGGCTTCAGAGAGCAGAAGGCATCCAAGCCATCTGCAAAGTAAAATAATGCAGTAAAGCAGACACTACAAAAGGCTAACTAACAGGCATACAGCCAGGCCTGGATTAATATCGAAATGCCTATGAAAGATGGTAAAACTAGTTAACGAACAGAATTATCTTTGATAAACTAATGAACTAAAGTTCATTAAGCAAATCTCAAGACTCAACTAACTTGCACAAACTAAGAGCCGTCTAGGAATACTGCGTCAAGTCATGTCAATTTTTGCAACTAGAAACCAGGAAAGCACGAAAAAGTGACAGAAATAAAGGCCCAAATATTTCAGGCAGCATGCCATTTGACATGACTAAAGGACCCTGGACAAGCCTGCATTTGATCAGCTACAATCTGACAGAATAGCAGATACATTGCCTAATAAATTTGTAATTAATTTTTTCATTCCCTAATGTGTAATTAAAGGAAGAATGGTTCCTTCCTGTCGTAACACAAAACGAGGAAAAACAACTGTTGGCAGATCCACAATAAGACAAGCAGGAAAAACGAGACATAATAGGATGAAGCAGGGGCACCTAACATTAGGGATGCATTAAAGATCAAGTAATATAAGTAGCCTGATCATGGCTTGATAAATAGACACAAACATCCATAAATTTGTGGATTGTAGACAATCAACGAAAACGATCAATTAATTCAAATCTAATGAAAAAGAGTTGCTAAAATGCTGACTCGATAAAACTTATCATCAATGCTGCAAGAACCCTACATCCATAAATAAGCAATTATGAACCCAAAGAGAAATTAATATATTCAGGAGACGGGACCTTTAAATCTGACTGTAATGTAAATGAAACTTTCCAAGCTTTCTGAACTTCATTAAATAGGAGGAGACATTGATCATCTGCTTCTTTGACTGTTTGCTGTAAACTCATAATTTCTTGCTTCATATCAATAGTTTCCTTTTCTTTTTCATAAAGCTCTTTACGTGCATCATTAGCCTACAAGTATTCCAAATACCACAAACTATAAGGAGAAAACATCTCTTGTAACAAAAGACTAGCATAAGTTTATCAAATAGTGTGGTTAGTAAAACTAATACAAATCACAAATGAACTCACAATGTCTTTCCATTTTTTTATAGTATCTCTATTTCCAAGGCTTAAAACAGCACTTCGGGCTCTGGAAGAGAAGTTGAGGGATGATAAAGTTTCAGGCAAATTAGAAACATCTGGACATATATTGACAATCATTAAGGTTTTGGAGCTTCCACCTACAGCAAATTGAATGTCAACTATTACAATCAAATTCATAAAATGCGAACTTCAAGAAAATTAAAATTCATGAAAAATGGCCATTGAGTCTAAATATTCAATGCAATGAAACACCAGGCAGATACTGAAAAGATAAAAGCTGTCAAATCTGAACGGGTTATTCAGAAATTTACAATTGGAACTCTCTCATTTCCTCTTCCTAAACACTAACTTTTGACTTTCTTTGGCGCAAAACTAGCCAAACATACAATAATGAACTGTTCTTATCTTAAAGCTGATAAAAAATAACAGTCTTTAATGGTCAGACAATGTTTGACCATTATTTTTTTCAATGTTGAAAGCTTGATATATTATCCACAGATACTAGTCCAAACCTCAAAATCAGAGATCCCTGTGCATCTGAAAACAAAATTACAGTCGAATTTCATGAACTAGATCCACAAAGGTCAATAACATGGATCGGAGGGAGTAACTGGATTTAAATCAAGGATACACCACTGAAGTAATTTCACTACAATTTACTTTAGCTTAAGTAGTAAAACATAAATACAAATATGAAAAATCTTAAAGCTTCTTGGACATCCTAAAGGCAACAAGTGATGGATGCCAAATAAGGAAGATGGCACAGACAACAATAATCAGGTTTAAATTATTTAGGTAGAAGTTAGCAATAATGTCCCTTCAAGTCAAATGATATAAGTTCTCCAACACTCACCTATTGAGTCAGCAAGGACTTTGGTAAGAAGAGAATTTTCATACGGGACATCGTCTTTCTTTGATGTCAAAGATGACAAAACATCTCCCAATCTGTAAAGTAAACATCAATCAGCAAGAAGTTTAAGTTAATAAAGACACCACCAATTTCTGCATTTCAGAAGCCAAAATACACCCATACAAAATGGCTTGTCAATAAGAAACAACTAAAATAATAATTTTGGATTTTCAACATTATGAAGCTTACAAGGGGCAGTTGTGAACAATAACATCAAGAACAATATCGTTCAATATTAATTTGCCAGCAAAGAGACGACTCACGCTGAAAGGGAATGCATAGCATGCAGTTGTTCAGTAACACGCTCACCAGACTCATTGTCTGTACTCAAGCACTCGCTTCCAGCTAAGTCAACCAGTGAAAGTTTGCTGTATAAGTTCTCTCCGGTAATAGCATTGTTATAAAATATATGTATGGTCACAATCCTGGGAATAACCACCAAGACAGTAATTCAAGTCAATGAGTAATAAATTCAAATTGTAAATCTCGTCTCAAACAGATGTATAAAATAAAATGTCAGCTTCAGAAAAGGTTTAAACATTTGGAGCCCACAACTTTATTCAAACCACTTTATGCATTCAAGAAGGAAATCACACAATGGCAGAGTTTCAAAGCATAAATTCAAGATTCCTACAGTAGGCTAGTCAATTTAAGTTTGTATTTTATCTGTAATGAATGATGACCGCTACAATCAAAGAATTGATAAACAGCTAAAATCACAAGCTGAAGAGTCTATACGCTCATTGACTGCCAAATAAAGTGGTTAACACTCCATTGATGAAAAATAGTTGTCAAAGCGAGTCAAAAGGAACTGTCAATATGCCTTGTCATGACCCATGAGAGAGTGAAAGGCAGGCAAAATAATCAGTTAACAGTATGATAGCAACTGAAAAGCATGACATGCACAGCAAAAAAAATATGGACATTTAGTCCAGATGGATTACATAGAAAAAATAATATTTAAATGAGAGTTCAATTAGGCATGTTAGCTTTAGAACCATACAGATGAGAAACGTTGAACTTCTGCGCATCGGGGCCCCGACTCTGCAGAGCTGCTTTTAATACTCTGGAGAACTCTAGTGGATTGTCGACTTTCTCTGACACAAGTTCTATAAATGAACCAGGTGATCCCATTCTAAGTTTCAGTGAACTCTTTCCTGATGCTGCAAGCAGATCCTTCACCTATGATTCCCATTAAAACAGGGATTCAGGCTTCTAATAGCTCAAGACATACAAATCAATATATGGCTATCAGAAAGCCATAAGCACAAGCACATACCTGCTCATTGTAAAGCTCAAAAACAGTGAATGAAAAACTGAATCGAGAAGTAGTAGTGCTCTCTGAGTTAGATAAATCAAACAATTCTTCAAAACATCGAACGTATAAACCACGGTCATGGCTAGATCCTTCCTGTAACATATTTAAACATAGCCAAATAAGATGACAGTAGAGCTATATTAATTAAAAAAAAAGGGATGCAAAAACATTCTTAAAAACACAAGCACACAAATTGAAATTTGTACTCAAATTGTTACAAATTGTTGGAGGGGGAACACAGAGGATCAAAGAGACACCTCAGCTTAGTACTTTTCCTTCCAACAAGCACACAAAAGATTTGATTATTAAACTGAGCCCATGATTTACATTGGAGATTCAGCTTCTAAAAATACATTATTTTGTCAAACTGCAGCTCAGAATATGTAGCATAAGCATATTAAGTAACATAACTAACTTTGCTAAAAGCAAGGAAGGTTTCAGGTACATTATGAATTGCAGATAATTTACTACATAAAACATAAAGACTTTAAGCTAATACCAAAGAATACTTAATTTAATTGTAAAGTTACTTCACAAATCCTTCATTTATGACACACTAGAAAAGACGGAGAGTCTATAACAGCAACATATATTTCAGAAACAATCACTTAATCCCTTTCTACTGGTAGCACTGTTGCAGTGGTTGACTGGTTCCACATATACGGATTTTCCTACTCCATAACAGTAACAAGAAGCACATTAGTTGTGATGACCAGGGGCGGAATTACATTGGTGCACACTGGTGCACGTGCATCACCAGCCCCCCAAAAAAAATGAAGTTGAAATTTTTTTTAAAAAAAATCTAGCAAAGAGAGTCGTTATTATAAATAACAGGTCTCTTAGATGCTAGTAGTAATAATGCAGTATTCAGACTATTCACTCAATCACTCCCGCTTTATTCTCGCTGCTTTGTTTTTGTAAACAACCGGTCTCTAAGATCATTTTTTTGCTATTCCTAATAGTAATGGGTCAAAGAGACCGGTTATATTAACAACAGGTCTCTAAGGTCATTATACTTTCTTTTTTTTTTTTTGCTACTATTAAAAGTAATGGATGGGTACTATTTGTTTGTTAGATGTTATTTGTAGTAACTTCGGCTTGTAAGATGAATTTTTTAAGTACTATTTGGTTGTAGTATGGATGTATGTGTCCTATTTTTGGATTGAAATCAATTTGGTTGTAATTTAATTTTTTTTTTTAATATATTTTTTGGATTGAAAACTATTATGAACCAGACGCGAATTTTTTTTTGTACTTTCATATATGATCAATAAATGATGGTGACTCACCATCTCGAAAATCCTTAATCCGCCAATGGTGATGACAATTGACAGTAACAAACTACCATATCAGTCAATGAGCCTCAAAGACTGACACATCAATAACTAAATGATAGCTATTTTACCCCAACAGACTTTTTTTTTAATGTGTATTTGTGTGTTTATAACTGAGCAACTAGACAAAGGTAACTAATGCTATTTTCTTTTAGTCTAAACAAAGAAGAAAAAAAAAGAAAGAAGAATTCAAGAGGTTCTGCTACAAATGTGGTAACAAATAGCTAAATAAGCCAGTGATAACACAGGAACGACGTCTGATACTCATTGTACATGACTCAAAATAGTTTAGTACAATTTCCAACATGAGGTGAATGCTAACAGCATGAGCAGTATTATACATAGGGAAAAATACATAATTGTATATATTTTTTATTTTAACATTCAACGACGCATGTAGACAGAAAGACAGATGACTGAGGAGGATGTGAAACAAACCATAGTATAAGTCTTCCCGGAATGAGTTTGCCCATAAGCAAAAACAGATACATTGTAGCCATCCAATGCAGACTGTACATATGGCTGAACATCAATGAAGACTTCAGCTGCACTCAAAAAATTAAAATCATTCACACTTAAAAACATGCCTCCAACCTGATTTAAACTGAACAAGAATATATTGAACTTACATTGCCCTACATGAGGACCATACACCCGGTCAAGTTCAAAATCCTTCTTAGGATTGCTCAATGTCTCGTCATCCGTATTAACACGGACAGTGTATTCGTCAGGATATTCAACAATAGACAAGCCTTCATTTTCAAATAGTGGTCTTGTACGACAAAATAACTTTATATTTCCTGCAAATCACAGTCCCTGTTAATAACTAGCCAAAGTCAACAGCCTGGTTATACTTGCCAGTACAAATTAACATGCCTAAACAGTCCTATGACCATAAACTCTGAAAGATGCCATGCATATGAGGAAGGCCATGTCGGTGACAGATAACTCACAGAGATTATGAATACCTTTGGCTGTCAATAAGTCATTGAACAACCTTTTCTTCTCGCTAATCAAAGGAGTAATTCTTGCTTCCGCTTCAAGGGCAGCCTGATCTGAGGTGGAAAAAAGCTTAAAATTATTCAAGTCTACTAGCTCTTGTGAATCAAATCTTATATAATAGAAGACTCTGCAGGCGTATAACCAACATCTCAGAAGAAAATGAAGCTGACTCATGGATAAATCCAGCACAAAGGCCGCAAACATGAAAACGTCCTTTGACCATTAAAACAAGTAACCTGTTGACTCATGTTGTATTACCAAGTTATCTGCTTGATACAAATTACATGACGCACATGTGATCACCAAAGAGAAGTCGGAAAATACCAAATCCCTTACTTAGCTCAAAGTCAGCAAAAGTTGCTATTACTAACACTTTACTCACCCAGTTTACGGGTTTTATCAGCAAGTGCTCCCACATACCGCGTAATTCGATCAAGCTTAGCAATAGAATACTCTTGGAGATCACTGGCCTCTTGTCTCAAGACTGCATAATCTTCTTTTGCAAACTGCCAACACAGTTTATTGTTAGATATGCAAAGCTGATGACATAATGACACATAATTGTTGACTGCAACTAGATTTTTATTTACAGAAAAGGACTAAAGTAAAGAATGAGAAAACAATAAAATAAGACAGAGAGTCCACCAACTGAAGCTCTACAAAACAATTGCACCAGAGGCTAAAAAGGACGAAAATTGCAAAGAAATTTGTCAAATTCTATTAGCCTCTCTTCACATATAACGCCCACAGATTAATCAAGATTATCAACTTTCATATAACAAATCCAAGCAACCAAAATGCCAAGCATCACAAATTCACAATACATTTATAGGCCCTTGTTCAGCCACTGTTTTCACATCCTATCCATACTTTGCCCATCTAATTTACACTTCGAAACCAAAAACATTCCCGATAAGGGTAAGTCAATTAACTCCATCCAACTCAAAAAACACAACCATAAAGGTAGCTACTCCACATTGCAAGTTTGCAACCAATACTCTTAAGCTAAAAACTCAAGCAACCCAAACATCATACATCACTAATTTACTCCGTATACATTTTTCTAAATTTTTCGACCCTCGAAAACTCGATTCCAACCTCATCACATTGGCAATAGCACAGCTCCCATAACTTCCAAATTAGTAGAAAATTCCAAAATTCAATCAGCTAAATGCTGATAAATAATTCCATACCACAATACTAAAAATTAAAAATTTACTCCAAAGACAAATCATCTAAAACAGTACAGTCAAACATTTTCAGCAAAACTGCGCATAAAACACAAAACTAAAACAAATAAATAACAAACACAAATTCAAATTAAAATAAGAAATTAAACATTAAAAGCAAAAAACCTTGAGTTTATCTTCAAGTTTCCTAACTTTAGAGACCACAGAATACTTTGAAAGTTCAGAAGGCGGCAAAATCGAAGAAGAAATGGAGTATCGTCTTCCCAATGACGCCGGTTTACTCTGATGATCGGAAACATCAAACGACGCCGTTTTCTTAGGTTCAAAACCTTTAACATCCCAACTCCATCGATTTTTGTCCGCCATTAAAGCTTCCGACCAAGCTTAAAACCCTAGAATTCTGACGAATTGCTTCGAAATTGATGAAATTTTCTCTCTCCTTTATCAGCCAGTGGTGGAAGAGAGAGAAAGTGTAAATACTCTTCTTCTTCAGTTTTCTCTCTCCTCTACTTCCAGCTTTTTGTTTGTGTAATAAATTTAAATTTTATTTTTTTTGGATTTTTTAATTTTTATTTTTTCCCTCTTTTGGACAAAGCAGAACCAGGGAAACGGATTCAATTTTCAAAAACGAATGAGGGGTGGCTGGGTGGGGACAAAACGGTGTCGTGTTATTTTTCTTTTTTTAGAAAAGGAAAAGGTTTTACTTGGTCGATATCTTTCACAGATCATCTCGATTTAGATTAAAGGGCGAACCCTTACCCTAAAACACCCTTAGGGGATGTTTGGTATGGTTTTTTTATAGGGCTGGAAACGGAATTGGGTTACCGTTTTCGTAAGACAGGTTTGGTTAATGAGTTAAGTAACGAAAACCGTTTCTTTCCTCTAACCCATTCCCCCACTTTGCTTCCGGTGTAAACTTGGGGAAACAAATCCCGTTTCTTTCCTCCAACCCAAAAAAACAACTTTGCCTCATCTCTCTCCTCTCATACGACAGATCTCCAAAAAAAATTTCCAACTTTGATCGATTGAAGCTACAGATTTCGCTCAAGTTGTTAAAATTTCCTATCTCAAGTCTCCAAAAATCCACAATGTCAATCATCACAGGCTTGTTATCTTTCAATTTTTTGTTTAAGAACCCTAGATTTTGAGTTTATGTTGAATTTATATATTTTTTTTTTGTTTGATTGATTGTATTTTGATTTTTCTACCTCAAAATATTGCTATTTTATTTGATTTTTCGATCTAATTTTTCTGTTTTATTTGAGTTTTACTTTTCTCAATTGAATTTCCTGGTTTTTGCTTCATGAAATTTTTGCTAATATGCTTGAATCTTGATGCTTCCAACGTTTATCCAATTTTCAGGTATTCTCTTTTAATAATGAACAAAATTCTGTAATTAGTCTTCTAACATTATAGTATATAGTTTAATGATATTGTTTTATATGATTATAACTGAAATGCAAATTGCTTACATTATACACTAATCTATACATGTTTGATCTTTCCTTGATTTAGAAATTATTTCTGGGTGCTCATAACGTGCTTGATAAAAAGCCTAGCTGAAATTAATCGTTTACGTTTCCTTAGTGATACCAAACAACTAGTAAGGGTAACACTAAATAATACCCTTTCCCTCCCTAATCTATTTTCATTCCGCTACCTTTATTAATTTGATACCAAACACCCTCTTAATATATTTTGAACTCATAACCTCCTCTTTAATGTGGAGTATGTTTTTAAAGTCATAACCTCGTGATTGTAAGATGCAAACACAAAACATTTCATTTAAGCTAAGGAGCCTTAGTCGGTTTAATACTGTTACGTGGACTTTTGTCTTTCATGGAAAATGTATGCGCTTTGTAAACTCACGCTTCGCTATCAAAAATGCGGTTTTTTTTATTTTTATTTTTTTTAAAAATTAAAAAAAAAAGAAAAAAAATTAAATGACCTGGATAAGACGGCACGTGACTACGTGAGTGGTTACAGAGAGAGTTGGGTGTTTTGGTTGTCGGAGGAACTAGGAAGTTAGATTTTGTATTGACTTGGGCTTGGGTTTGTTAACGTGGGCTTGGGTTTTAGGCCCAATATTTTGCTTATACTTCAGATAATTGAAAATTTTACCCTACACCCTAGTGTAGGGTGTGTTCCCTACACCCCCCCTATGCTACGTCGTTTTGTAGCTGGTATTGAGTTCTCATGTGCAGCTTCTTTCCTTTTGCGATTCTTTCCTTTTTTTTTTTTTTTTTTTTTCCTTTTTTTCTTTTTTTCTTTTCTTCCTCTTTTTTCCTTTTTCCTTTGATTCTTATTATTCAATTTATGTATATATATGATTTTAAACCCTATTTTTTCTCTCTCTTCAATTGATCAACCAACCTCCATTTTTGATCTACATTTTTCTCTCGCTAATTCATCTTCTTCATTTGATTTTTTGAACGAATTCGTTAATTGTTACCGATCATCAATGGCGAATTCTGCATCTGGAGATTGCGTTGATTTTGATCGCGATTGCGAGCGTGTGTTTCCTTCTGGACTTCGTTTCGTTGATTCGTTTGTGCAACAATGTGAGTAATTGTGATCATAATTTTTCAATTTTTAATTATCCCTAATTTGTTCTGTTATAATGCTCTGTTAATTTGAACTTAATTGATGTATTATTATTCACTTTCGATTTTTGAATTTACTACTTTGATTACATTATGATGAACGTTTTTGGATTGTTGTACTTTGTATGAACATTTTGTTGCTTCATTTGTTGTTTCATTTGTTGTTTTCTCTGTGTTTTAGAATTGTGTGTTTTTGTCGTATATTTTGTAGATTATACTTTCAATTAATCGTTTATGTTTTCTTATTCATTGTTACTAATGTGTTTATGTTCAGTCTTAAAGTCATTTTTGATCATTTATTTTTACATTTTTATATCGATATTATGTGTAGTGGTAAATAATGAAAATATTGTTCAAAATATTATGTGCTGAAATTCTTTTTGCAATTGATCATGTGCTGTTTTGATATTGAACATTTTACTTATTTGTTATTGTTCATTCATGAAACTCTTTATGATCATTTATAATTGTATATTGTGCAGTGGAAAAAAATGATGATATTATGTATTTAGAAGCAGAACAGTCTGAATTAAAGGATAAAGAATTTAAATCTGAAGATGAAGCTTTCGAAGCGTATAATGAATATGCTTTTAGGAAAGGTTTTGGAATTCGAATTGGGAAGAGTAAGAGAAGAAGAGATGATTCTTTTTTGATGAAAAGATTTGTTTGTTGTAATGAGGGATTCAAAGATAATAAGTGTAAGAATAAAAGGATTTATGAGAAGTTGGATCATCGAACTGGTTGTTTAGCTTTTGTGCAGTTTCATATTGATCATTTAGGGGTCTATACATGTACAAGACATGAAATGGTTCATAATCATGCTATGATTCCTCCTGAAAAAAGGCATTTGATAAGGTCTCAAAGAGATGTGAATAAAGAGCAGCTTCTTTTCATTTCAACAATGAAATTGAGTGGAGTCAAAGTTACTGATTCTTTGAGGGTTCTAAAGAAGGAGGTTGGGGGATCTCCTAATCTTTGTTTTACTGCTTCTGATGCTTATAATGCATTGTCATCTGAAAAAGCTGCCCAAATTGAAGGATGTGATGGTAACCAATTGATTAAATATTTTGCCAAGAGACATGTGGATGAGACAGATTTTTATTATGATTTTGAACAAGATGATAGTGGTGCTTTAGTTAGTTTTTTTTGGCGTGATGGTAGGATGATGAGAGATTATCATTACTTTGGAGATTTGTTGGTTTTTGATACAACTTATAGAACTAATAAATATGGAATGATATGTGCTCCATTTGTTGGGATGAACCATCATGGTAACAATGTCATGTTTGGTATGGGTTTTATTCTTAATGAGCGCACCGAGTCTTTTGATTGGTTGTTTGATACATTTTTGCACTCAATGGGGAGGAAAAGTCCCATTACAATTATGACTGATCAAGCACAAGCGATTGCAGCGGGTATAAGAAACATTTTTCCTTCAACTGTTCATCATCGTTTATGTGTATGGCATCTTGAACAAAATTCTAAGAAACACATTGGAGCATTGAGAGCTTTGGAAGGCTTTACAGATTTGTTTGGATATCTTTTGAAGTATTGTGAAACTCCTGCTGAATTTGAATATTTCTGGAAAAGGTAAATTATTGTTTTTTATATTTATTTTTTATTTTTATTATGTGATATATTTGATTATTATGTGATATATATATGAACATTTAGTGTTTTACATATGATCATACAATTTACTTTGTTATGTATGTTATCATAATATTATTAGTGTCCATATTGTTTATGATCATTATTCTTTACACAAATGTACATATTTTAATTTATATTTTGTTCATTTTTAAATTAATATATGATCATTTCTGTTATACAGGATGTGTGATAAATACAAATGTGAAAATGATGATTGGTTATGTGATTTGTATAAAATAAAGGAAATGTGGTGTCCTGCTTATTCTAAGAAGTATTGGTCTGGTGGTATATTGTCTTCTCAACGTAGTGAAACTACTAATAAGTCAGTTTCACAACGTCTTAATAAGACTCAAGGTTTATGTGATTTTTATCATGTTTTTCTTGATGTCATTTCTGAGTGGAGAAGTAAGGAAGGTGCAAGAGATTACAATACTCTGAGGGGTAATAGGCACCTAGCTTTTGCTAATATTGGTATATTAGTTCATGCAAGATCATTGTACACTATTCAAGCTTATGTTCTTTTTGAAGAGGAGTTCATTAGGGGGACAGCTTATGATCATGTTGATAATGGTTTGCGTTTTCCAGAATATTCATATCTTCTTTGGAGGCCTGGGAAGGATATAATTAAGCATGAAGTTGTTTTTAATAAGGAAACACATGCAATTTGTTGCACATGCATGTACTTTAGTGAGACTGGTTTACTTTGTTCTCATTCTCTTCGAGTATATCATTTGCATTGTGTGCGTAATATTCCACAAGAGTATATAATGAAACGATGGACAAAGGCTGCCATGTGTAGTCATGGTATTGAAGAACCTACTTTGAGGACAAATGTTGTGGCTACTAGTGTTTGGAGGTCACAAACAATCAGAAAGTTTGTTAAGTTGATAACAAGTTGTCAGAATTCTTTGAATGCAAGGGCAGAGGTTGAGTGTTATTTCAATCTGTTAAAAGAAAAGGTTGAGAGTGTATCAGGTGTAATTGACTTTAGTGAACCTGTTAAAGAGGTTGAAATTGTTGATCTTGAGATCAAGAATCCTCCAAAAGCTATGCCTAAAGGTGAGAGGAATGTAAGGCCTAAGAGTACCTTGGAGAAGCAGTGTAACAAGGCAAAGGGTAATTTCAAGAGGAAAAAGTCTCTGTACACTCCTTACAAAAGGGGTATAGGGCAAGCAGTTGTACAGGTATATGATCATTTCATATTTTCAAATTGATCATTTCAGTTTTCGTAAATGATCATTTATGTTTTTTTTTTTAAATAGGAACTTGATGAGAAC